TGATGGTGGTGGTGATGATGATGAGGGTGGTGATGGTGGCGATGATGGTGATGGTGGTGGTGACCACTAGTGTAATAGGTGTTGGTGATGACGGTAACAATTACAGTAAGCACTGTCACTCGAGCGCTTGTGCTGTCCCAGGCATTAGGTTTGAGCTTCTCTGAGCCACCCACATCTTTATGCCTACCGTGGTATATAACCAGTGCTCCCGTCTGCCTGAGTGTGCGTTCTGTGGCTGAGCCCCTGTTCCACTCAACGCTACGTCTGCCACCAGCCAGAAAGCCCCTTTGTGTCCTGGCATTGGTGATGTTTGTCAGTAGAGGGGTGTGGTGCTGGCAGGAAGGGAGATGACTCTCCAAGGACCCATGTGGCTCTGCTGCATTCAAGAGGCTCATCACAGGACAGCGTAGGGAGCCTGTCCCTGCCCACAAGACAGGAAGAGTCGTCCAGAGGTGGCCTGTCAGAAAGCTTTCACCCCGTGAAAGGGGGTGAGTTGGGGGGGGAGTTGGGTTTTGGGGTGTTTCTGTGTCTCTTTGGCTCCCTCAGTCTGCTCTGACACCCTGGCTGTGTACCCCTCTGTGCAGCCCGGCACATAGGTAGGTTTCTCGGGTCACATCCTTTAAGTGGGGAGACTTTGCCTGATGATACCCAGGTAGCAAAGGAAATGACTCAATCTGTAAAATGTAAGATCCCACGGATGGCAGGAAGCCAGCTCCGTTTTTCCCATCCCTCCAGGGCTCCTTGCTTCACGTTGCCAAATATTTTGTTCGTGTTACATCAACCCCAGCCCACAATGACAGGATCCTGGCAGACCTCCCATTGTGTTTGTGGGCCCCTGCTTCCGGCATTCTTCATGTTCGTCTACAGACGTGGACATCCACCGCGTTAATACTCAACTGAGTCAGGGAACTCGTTTATACTCAGGGGAATTCAGAGCAATGAGAAGGAGCAGCTCTTATTTTAAGTAGGCTCCATGCCCAGCGTGGAGCCCAAGGTGGGGCTTGAACCCACGACCCTGAGATCAAGACCTGAGCTGAGATCAAGAGTCGGACGCTTCCCCCACTGAGCCACCCAGGTGCCCTGAGAAGTAGCAACTTTAAATCATTGATTCTTGATAGCCCATCC